CTGCGCAGGCGTAATGTCTGCCCCACTGCGCAGGCGTAATGTCTGCCCCACTGCGCAGGCGCAGCGGCGCCGCGTTTTCTAGGTAGGACGAATAGGGGCCGAGCAGGCCCGACGCAGGCTAGCGGAGACCCGCACGGCGAGCCCCGCTGCCATGCCGGATCCTTACGACAAGGACGTGTACCCTGAACCCCCGCGCCGCACGCCAGCGCCCTCGCCGCAGACGTCGCTACCCAACCCCATCACCTATTTGATCAAGGCCTTCGACCTCCTCGTGGACCGGCCTGTGACCCGCGTGAGAGGTACGGGCCCTGGTTTCCAGACACCCTGCGGGGACCCTTAGTGCTCCACCGCCCCCGCGTCAGGCGACCGACCTGCGGCCGCCATCTGGGAATCCCCGAGCTCGGTTACCTTCTTTGACCTTGCCCCAGTACCCTGGCCCTCTCTCCTCTGCCACCTCTCATCAGGAAACCCCGAAGCTCTGTCGACTCGTTTGACTTCCCCACTACACCCTGGGACCCTTCCCGGGGCTTTCCCTACCCTTCGCCTTACGGAGGAGGAACCTTGGCCTGCGTTCTCAGCCTTCTTGATATTAGGGCTTCTTTGCACTCAAATTATCAGAGCCCCTGGGCTTGTTAGACACCCCCCACCCCCAGCACACTTTGCTCAGTGTGCAAGGGAAGCCTGTGTTGGACCTTCTTCACTAACCACATGCATGTTCTCGGGGTGGTCATCAGCCCCCTCGGGTTACAGGTCTTCACATGCACTGTGGTAGGGTGATGGCCAAAAGTGCTCCAGTTTTCATCTCTGGTCCCAATCAGAGAATGCTCCATGCAGCTCTTTTCTGATAGTTTGCCAACCTTGTGGGCAACAGCAAGAGCACACTGTGCAATCCGTCACAAGTGCCAGGCACTTCATCCGTTCAGTGAAGCAATTCATTTGTTCAACAACGAAACATTTGGGGTGCATAGCCTTCTTAGGTGATGGTGTTGTTTTTCTCTCTTTGATGTTAGGGATTACTGGTTAGTGGTGGTGGGTTTGTTTTGACCGGATCGCACTATGTAGTGCAAACTGGCCTTGAACTTACTACGTAGTCCAGGCTGACCTTGAATTTGCAGTGATCTTCCTGCATCAGCCTCTTCAGTGCACCACCATCCCTGGCTTGTTTTTCCTTTTTTTGAGCAGAGCTTTGTTGCCCAAGCTGACCCAGAACTGCAGTCAACTGATCCTATTTCATTCTCCCAGAGCTGGGACTATGGGCCTGCAGCACCATACCAGGCAGGTTAGGTGGGATGGAAATCTACAAACCAGACCTTCAAGAGTAGGTGCAGTGGAGCCAGCTTCCCTTCTTAGAGTATTTTAGAAGTATTTGGATATATGAGTATAGCTCAGAGTGGGATTTCTGCTGCCTCCTATCAGGGCCTCTTTTTTATTTCCTCACATTCTTGGTACCAGAGATCAAACTCGGGACCTTGCGCTTGCTCGACAGGCGCTGGAACCACTGAGCTAAATCCCCGGCCCTATCAGGGCCTCTCTTATTATTTACACAGTGGGAAGTGGAATTTCTGCAGGTGGCTTCCACTCAGGGCCTCTTAGTCTACACAGTGGGGTCCCTGTGCTGGGAATGTGGGCTTGCAGAACTGGGTTCTGAATCCTGCCCTGCAATTCCCCTGCTGAGTCCTGATCCCTCCCTTCTATGAATGAAAAGGTCCTGGCCTGTAGGGTTGTTGTGGGCATGCCATGAGATAGTACGCCTGGAACTCTCAGGGATAGTAGTGGGCATCAATTGTATACTATTTCACGGGCCAGTACTAGCCCACACCCGTTAGTAAAGTCTGTAAAACCTCAGAACATTGAGACTAATTCCCTTCCCAGTTACCTGTCCAAATCCATGGGGCAACTGAGTATGAGATTTCTTCTTTGCAGATTTTATAGAGCAGCAGCATGCCAAGAACAGATACTATTACTATCACCGGGAGTACCGCCGTGTGCCAGACATTACAGAGTGCAAGGAGAAAGATATCCCGTGCATGTTTGAAGCTGAGATGCAATGGAGAAGGGACTAGTAAGTAAACAGCAGGGAGTGCTAGGAGTGGGCCTTAATTTGGTTTGGGGGCTGAAGGGCCTCATCCAGCCAGTGTGCCTCTTGAGATGAGGCAAACTATAGGGCTCCGAGGTCCGCTTTCACTCTATTCCGCCCTCCCCCTTAGGGGTAGCTTTTTTCTTGCAGCATAGTTGATCAACAAATTGTCAATATCATCCAAGAGAGACTTAAGGCCTGTCAACAGAGGGAAGGAGAGAACTACCAGCAGAATTGTGCCAAGGAGCTTCAACAGTTCACCCAGGTGGCCAAGGCCTACCAGGACCGTTGTGAGTGAGCCCCCCCCCCACCCTGACCCAACCCCAGCAGCTTATCCAGTCTCACCACTGTTGTCATGACTTACCTACTAGCCTTTCCTCTGCATGTAGACAAGACCCCAGTTCTTGTGAACTGAACTGTCAGAACACTCCCTTCCTGCTTATTTTCCAGATAATGACCTGGGAGCCTATTATTCTGCCAGAAAGTGTCTGGCAAAGCAGAAGCAGAGGATGCTGGCAGAGAGAAAGGCTACCAAGGAGACTGATGCTGCCTGAAGCCTACCCTGAGAGTACCCCTTGACTAATCCATGTGTTGCTGAAATAAAAGTGGTGTACATCCTGCGTTTCTGGTATCACCTCTAAGGTCCCTAATTCATATCATTACATGTTTGGTTGACAGGCCAAAAAAAAAAAATAACCATTGACAGATTTCATTCATTTTTATTTTTCTGAAAAAACCCTCATGTTGTAGCTACTGCTGGAGCTTGAGTCCTCTGGACAGAGACTCTGGTGTGGGTTTTCACAAGATGGTCAGTGAATTCCTAAAAATAAAAGTTTTATGGTGATACACAACCCTTAGGCTTGCATAACCAAAAACCCCCAACTTCATAAGGCAAGCCACAGCTGCAGTACCTGGTAGGGAGACTTGGTGAAGACAGTCTCTTTCCACAGGTCTGGGGTCAGGTAGCTGTAGGTCTTGGAGATGGCATCAAAGGTGGCCTTAGCTGGGGAATGAAGGTGGGTGAGACACCCTCATTGAGACAAGCTGCCCACCCCCAGACCAGAAACTGTTGCACCCTAGGAACAGAGAGGCCACTTTGGGGCAGGTCTGTCGTGCATTAGGAGGGCCTTCCTCTCTCTCCCAAAAATACGCCAAGCACACACTGTTGTTTGTGTGATCCAGCAGAGCTGAGAGAAGTCAATGCTAATCCCTCAAGTGGGCCACCTACCAAAGTTGCCCAGAGTAGCAGTGCAGCCCCTAGCAGAGGTGTAGCAGTCATCAATACCAGCCATCATCAGCAGCTTTTTGGGTACAGGGGCTGAGACGATGCCAGTGCCTCTGGGGGCAGGGATCAGACGCACCAACACAGAGCCACAGCGACCTGTCACCTGAGAAAGTTAGGAATCAGAAATAAGCACCAAAGAACATCTCCATTGCAGGCCATCACTCACCACCACCACCACCCAGCCTACCTTGCAAGGGACAGTGTGAGGCTTGCCAATCTTGTTCCCCCAGTAGCCTCTGCGTACGGGGACAATGGAGAGCTTGGCCAGAATGATGGCCCCTCGAATGGCAGTAGCTACTTCTTTGGAACACTTCACACCCAGACCAACGTGACCATTGTAGTCCCCAATAGCGACAAATGCCTGTGAAAACACTGAGGTAGCTGGTGGTTCTCTCCACAGGATAGGTACCCCCCACCATCCAAGGCCTGTCGTGCTCCTCAAGGAAAGAAAGGCCACCATGAGGCCAGTTCAAGGTCCTGAAAAGCTCTTTTCTCTCTCTCCCCTGTACGAAAGTCACACCACAACTAGTGCGACCATGCAGAGTGAAGAGAGTGAGTCACTCCTCTTTTGATACAAACAGCCCAGGCAAAGCACAAAATAGTCCTGATACCTTGAACCTGGTACGCTGGCCAGCACGAGTTTGCTTTTGCACCGGCATGATCTTCAGAACTTCATCCTTGAGAGATGTACCCAGGAAAAAATCAATAATCTCAGACTCCTACAATAAATGAGATTTTTTTGGCAAAAATGTTAACCTTTAAATATAGGGAGCTGGGGATTTAGCTCAGTGGTTCCGCCGCCTGCCTCGCAAGCACAAGGACCTGAGTCCGATCCCCTTTAAATATAAACATTACATCACCCATGAACCACGGTGGTGGAAACATCACCAGGCTTCCTAGGCCAAGGCCAAAGGCTTCCTTGCCTTTTCATCCCAAGTTAAATTCTCTTTTTAATCCCTGCCGAATCAATGCACATAAGCACTTCTGCAATCGCCACCTTTCCGAGAATCTCTCAATGATGAACATGGCAGATCCCCGGACAGAGACGGACAGAGACTGGCCGGTCGCAGCAGTACCTTGATGGGTAAGGAGAAGAGATAAATTTCCTCCAGGGACTTGATCTTCATGTCCTTGACCAACCGGCCCAACTTGGTGACAGGAATCCACTGTGAAGACACTTCGGTCAACAGAGATGCTTCTGAGGCGCTCAACAGCCCCAGGACCAGTCCCGCTCAGAGCCGTACCTACCTCCTTGTCCTCCGCCTTACCGCCGCGAGCCCCGCGGCCTCGGCCTCGGCCCCTGCCGCGCCCGCGCCCGCGACCTCGAAGGCCACTGCCGAAGCCTCCGCGGAAGCCACCGCGGCCTCCCGTGCCTGGGCCCCCGGGGCCTCCGGGCCCTCCCGCTGCACCGGCGTCATCCGCCATTTGCTGCAGAAAGCGACAAGAAACAGTCAGTAGGGCTCGGGTCTCTGCGGCTGCCCCAGACACACTATCGGCTCTGGCCCTGGCCGGATGTCGGCAGATTCCCACCGCATTAGACCCACGCGACCAAGTCCAAATAAAACTCACGTGTTTCCCCGAGGAAAAAGAACGCAGCTGGCTGAGAAGAGACTTTTATATCCTACAAAACGCCGCGAGATCTCGGTTTCCCCGCCCCGAGCGCTCCGACCGCTCCTCGGCGACGGCGATTAGCTTTGCGTGCGCCTGCGCGATCTCAGTCTGCGCCTGCGCAGGTGGGGAGCTCCTGTAACTACTGGTGACCGCGCTGCATTCTTTCGACTTCATTTAGCGCCGCGGAGTTTCGTCCTCGTCGGGTAAGTTTAACTGGATGACCGACCCCGCGCCCCACTTTCTCTGCGTACCTACTCGTAGTTTGGAGCCCGGCGTTTGTTGAAAATAACCCCCGGCTCTGGCCATAGTCGCGGGTGAGATTCGGCGCCTAGAGCGTTCAGAGGCCTTAGCTCACCGCCCACTGCCGGTGTGGAAGGGTGAAACCCCGGCCCCGACACCCTCGGCGTCCCCAAGCGCTGCCTGGCCTCCGCCTTAAATTTCTGACCCCTTTTTTTCCGCAGGACTGGGTTGCCCCGAGGCCGACGCCGCTAGGACCGCGTGGGCAGGAGATCTCGGTTGTCCCCATTTTTTTTTGGTTTTGGGGGTTTTTTTGTTTTGTTTTGGTACCAGGGATCGAACTCCGGACCTTGCAGTTGCGAGGCAGACGTGCCACTGAGCTAAATCCCCGGCCTCATTGTTCCCAATTTTCAAATAAAATCTCAATTTTTCGTGTGTGACTGATCTTGGAGCCTTCCCTTACCTGCCCGAATGAACCATGCATTTGTCCCTGTTGTGACTTGGGGCAGCCCTAGTGAGATGTCTTCACCCTTACCAGCCCATCTCTGCCTTGGACACTACAAAGGTAATGATTGGAAGGTACGCAGGTGACACCTTTGTTTCACCTAGCCTGAAAACCAGGTCTGTATCAGTGCTCCAGATAACCTCTGCACCGATGGGTGAAGGGCTAAAGTGAGCGAAGTCAGGCCACAAAACCACAAACAATGATGGGAAAGTAGAGTTCACAACTTACGAGTTTTCAGTGGTTTCCTGTTCTTGTAACCCTGAAAGGGTTGGCACTGTTTAGGCTTAGATAGCTTGCATTCCAATGATGCTGAGTCACAGAAACATATTGCCAATCCTTTCCTAACAAGTCTATCCAGGTGATATGCCTGCCCTGGGTGGGGAAGAGAGGCTACAAGTTGCACCGGGATTCAGTCCTTTTCCATGGACCCATGCCCCCAGTCTTGGATGCTAGTTAAGAGAACCCATGGTTCAATGTCTAAAGACCCTAAGTTCTTGAAGATAGGGCTGCCTGGGCAGGACTATAGGAAGCAGCAGTCCCTGTGATTCTGCTGACCTTGGTTCCCTGCTCAATGCTGCTGGAGATCAGTTGGCAGCCACAACCAAGGCAAGCAGAGGTTCATAGACCTGTCCTGAATTGGGGCTCTCCTGCTGCTTATGTTCAGAGAGGGTAGCAAGGGCTAGCTAAGATGGTACAGGGTCCCAATGAGCCCTGGGCTGGACTGATTGGCCTGAGCTGTCACAGTGGACAATGCCACTGTGATGTCAGCCTACGCCCGCTATGAAATGGAGGCTCCTGAACCCTGGGTGTCAGTGGAGCTGCCATCCAGACACAGATCATGGTAAGCCTGGGGGCCACCTGCTTCCAGTTCTGAGATAGTTGGCCCAGCTCTGAACAGATGCCCAGCAGTCCAGGGATGGAGCTCACTACTCTGAGAAAAGATGGACAGTGGATTACAGTCCTTGTATAAGAGGAAACCTTTCAGGAGGCTTTAGCTGGGTCTCAGGGGCATCCCAGCTCCAGCCCACAATTGGTAGTGGGAGTTGATTCCTACAACTGCCCTCTCTTAAGTAGTACTGACACCTATATGGGACTCTTCCCACCCAAAGATTGCCAAGGTCTTGCCGGACATGTTTAGTGGGGAGCTCTGGGCCTAGTCCCAGTGAGGCCTAATACTGACCTGGTCTTTGCAGAGTAGTGGGTATGAACTCAACTTCTTTGCCAGCCCTCCTGACTGCAAGTTCCTGTGCTCTGTCTGCTATGGAGTTCTCAAGAGGCCAGTGAGCTTGCCATGCAGCTACATCTTCTGCAAAAAATGCACCCTCCAGTGGCTAGCCAGGTGCCACAGAGTACCCAGGGAGCTGGGAGGGGTAGGGAACCATTGTGGCCCAAAATGGGAGTTTGTCAGACACTGAGTCCCAATGGCTGTAAGACTCAGCTACAAAACCTGGGACACGAAAGTGTATGGGTTTCCTCAGTCCATAGTGTCTCCATTCCCTGGCTCCAGTTCTGGAGCTGAAAGCTTGCTATAATACCTACCCTCTCATGCCTTCAGTTGGAGAAGGGACCACCTGAATCACCCAGTAAAGATGAAGAGTTGAGGGCTGGGGATTTAGCCCAGTGGTTCCATCGCCTGCCTCACAAGCGCAAGGACCCGAGTTCAATCCCTGGTACCAAAAAAAAAAAAAAAATGAGTTGATCCAGCAGCCATGTTACCTCTAATTGACCCCTTTCCATGCCTGACATTCAACCCCATTCCTGCCTCTGCCTCATTTCAGACAAGATATCTGTCCATGCTGCAGGAAAGAGGTGAAAAGAAAAAAGATGGTCCATGTGAATAAACTCTGGAAAACCATTGACCATCCAGAAGTTATGGTAGCTCTGCACATCCACTCATCACTTTTGTGGTTTTAGGGTAGAGGCAGGAGGGGAAAGAAGAACCCATCTTCAAAAAGAGCCCAGTGAGGGCCAGGGATTTAGCTCAGTGGCACCATGCCTGCCTCACAAGCAAAAGGCCCTGAGTTCGATACCCGGTACCAAAAAAAAATTTTTCATTGAAAACTTTCAGCAGTCCTTCCTCAGACTCCTGAGTGCTGGGATTACAGGCATGTGCCACTACACCTGGTTTACTTCCCTATTCTTAAACAAGGTGTGGTGGGACACACCTCTAATCCCAGCACTCAGAAGGCAGAGGCAGGTGGATCTCCACAAGTTTGAAGCCAGCCAGACTGTCTCAAAAAACAACAAAAATTTACCTGTTCTACTCAGGCTCATACCCTCCTCTGAAACATCTAACATCTACCTGCCTCACAAGCATTTCCAACTTTGCCCATGAGGCTTCTAGATCACTTGTTCTTGGTTTGGTGGAATTCATAGGTGAGATTCTATGGGGGGCCCAGCTAGCAATGCCCCACCTGGGTTGGCTCACACAAAGCTTTCTCTCACCTCCAGTGCAAGAATGCTGAAGCTGGCTGCTCGGTGACATGCCCCCTGGTCCACCGCAAGAAGCACCAAGACTCAAGCCCATTTGAGCTGATGGCCTGCCCCAATGAAGGCTGCTCTGCTTGGGTGTTTCATGGTGCCCTGGCTGAGCACCAGCAGCATTGCCAGCAGGCTGGCCGGCAGCACTGCCCCCTGGGCTGTGGGGCCACCCTGGGTACAGCAGAGCTTGCTCATTACCACTGTGACCTCAAGCTTCCAGAGGCCTGGAGTGAGCGACAGGAGCACAGCCAGATGCTGCTGCAGGGACTGCAGGGGCGTGTACATAGAGTGCACCATGCTGGCAGCTGGCCCAGCTCAGCCACCTCCTGGAAAATGATGCCACGCATGTAGCTGATGTGCTCCCAGAAGGCAGCGTTGGGGCTGAGGTGTGGGGAGTGCAGGGCCAAGATGCCTTGGAAATAAAGGGGTAAATAAATGCGGAGCCTGACCCACCTTACCTCCTCTGTGCCACACTCTTTAGGCCTGTTGACCTCCCCAGGCATTACTGCCTTCTCACAAACATGCCAGAGCACTTTTTTTGTTTTGTTTTGAGAAAGGGTCTCGTTATGTACCCCAGGTTCTTGAATTTGCATCGATCCTTCTGCCTCAACCTCCAGAATACTGGAATTACAGGCATGTCCTACCAGCTGGCTACCGTAGCGAACTTTGACCTTTTTCCCTTATGTTTTTTATTTATTTATTTTTTGGTACTGGGGATTGAACTCAGGACCTTGTGCTTGCAAGGCAAGCAGTGGCACCATTGAGCTAAATCCCCAGCTCTTTTGTTTTGTTACTGGGAATTGAACTGAGGACCTTGTGCTTGCCAGGCATGCACAGTCCCCTGAGCTAAGTCCCCACCCCTTCCCTTGTGTTTTTAAGATCTGTCCCCACTCCCACTCCCCACTGGGTCTTGGCACTGGCTATTCCCCCTCCTGGAAAGCTCTTCCTCTTAACTCTCCACTTGCCTACTTTCTTCTTTTCCTTCAATGTCTTTCCCTGTACAAGTCTCGTCTCCTCTCCCAGTCTCCTTCCTGCCCATCTGTTTTACCAACATTGTAGTAAGTGGTAGTAAAGGCTCAAATCTTTGAATTCAGAGTAAAAGCTGCCCTCACAGTGGCTCACAAAGATTCTGCCTTCTTTCACCTGCCTTCAAGAGTTCCCCAAGAAGGATTAAAAGGATTAATAACTAATAATTAATACTTTGAAATAGGAAAAGGTCCAAAGGGGTGGGGGTGGTGGGAGGAGATGGGGAAAGGAAAGAGTGGAAAAAATTATGAGAAAAGAAAAAAAAATGAATGAAAACAAAGTCTATGTAAATAGGGAAGGGTGGTGGGGTGAAGGGCGCACAACAGGTAATGGGGAAAAAATAAGAACCAAGATACATCATGTACAGGTACAAGCACCCAGTGATAAATATAAACGTATTGTATACCTAAAATGTACCAATAAAAAAATTTAAGAAAAAATAAAGAAGAGTTCCCCAAGGTGGATTGTAGACACTGGCCTGTTTTTTTGTTTGTTGTTTTTTTCGAGACAGAATCTCACTGTGTAGTCCAGGCTGGCCTCAAACTCAAGGCGATCCTACTGCAGCTGAGTGCTGGGATTACAGGTGTGCACCACCACACTTGGCTGAGGTGCACATCTTTTAAATCCAAAAGCCTGATTTATGTTTCTTCTCCCTATTCTACCACAGTCCAGGCAACACTTTTTCCCCCTGTTCATGCCATCCTTTTGTTCCTGCTGACACAAACCAGTACTCCCTGAGCACACCTTTCCTGTTAACTTTAACTTCAATACCTGCAGCTGCTTTTTCTTTTACCATTGGATGTATTCTTGCAATTCTTTATTCGACATATGTAAGAATCTGGACTCTTATCCCTCCAACCCATCACACTCTGTATCAGCACTATCGCCAGAAAACCATAGGGTTCTGTGCTTCACTACGGTTGCTCAGGTGTCTCTGTCTCAGTGCAGCCTACTCTACAACCGGAATTTTTTTTTTTTTTTTTTTTGGTACCAGGGATGGAACTCAGGACCTTGTGCTTGCAAGGCAGGTGCCACTGAGCTAAATCCCCCACCCTACCATCACCGGATTTAAAATTGCACCTCTTGTATGGTGCTCTGGGAGGCTGAGGCAAGAGGATCACAGGTTTGACCCCACCCTAGAAAACTCAGCAAGACTTTAAAAAACCACAAAAATCCCTGAGTTCAACCTTCAATTCTATGAAAGAAGACAATAAACTGCATCTCTGCCCCATCTCTTGGGAAGCTGTTTCCACAGCCCTACTCATTTAGTGTAGTATTCCCTGCCCCTCTGCCCACTCTCCCTTCCGCCCACTGGAAAGTGAGTTACAGGAGGGCAGGGATTTCTTTTTCCTGGTGTCTTTCAAGCGACTTAAGCAGCATTTTACACACAGAAGATATTAAATATTTGGATGACTCTGAAACTATCCGATTTGACTTATTCCTTGTCTTTTTCACTGACTGGCCGACCGCGGCAGCCCCCACACCTCACGGTGCTGCGCAGCAAAAGTAAATACTTTCATTGGCTTTTGGTACTGGGAATCCAACTCGGGACCTTGCGCTTGCAAGACAAACGCCAGAACCACTGAGCTAAATCCCCAGCTTTTCATTGGCCTTTGTAAGCTTCCATTCAATAGTCCCCTCAGTGCCAAGTTCCTCCACACCCCACCCTTCAGGTCGGAAATGTCTCCAGCTTCCACTTCCGGACGTAGCAGCCACCACCACTCACAACCAAGGTGGCGTTTAAGGCGCCGTGCTGATGGCGTCACAGTACTGCCTGTTCTGATGTCATCTCCGCGCGCCGAGATTTGGACTGGCATGCTGGTCTCACGCAGCGGCGGTAGAGGGTCCAGACGGCAGTGACGTTGGCAACATGGCTGAAACTCCGGCTGGAGTGGGCCGCTTCAAGGCCAAGTAAGGCTGGGGCTGCGGGGGCCACCCGGGGACGGGCACGGGTTCGCTGCTGGAGGCGCGTGGAGCGATGCCGGCGGTGGACTGGGGACCCTTTCGGGTCTAGGAGGGCACCTGGCCCGCAGGGTTGTGAAAGAGGCTGCGGCGATGGAAAGCTGGAAAGCCGGCACCAACTCACAGACTGCTGTCTGGGAGGGAGGTGGGCTAGGTGCACTAGGTGTCGTTTACTTGCTTAGCGGAGGATCCTGTTTCAGTTCCGCGAAGTGGGAAAAACAAACCCCAAGGGAAGAAAAAGTGACGAGCGGAGCGCAAGTCGGGGCTGGTCCTGAATGATGCCGGGAGGTGAAGACCTGTCTGGGCAGGCTGTCCGGGGAGGTCTCTCCTGTTAACCCGCCCCTCCGGAGAATAGAAAGGGTCAGGAGGTGGGTGGGTACGCAGGGAGGCCTGAGTCCTGTGATTATTCAGGCCCTCAGCCTGTGCTGAATGACTAGTGCTGGAATAAACTCAGTCTATCAGTGACTGTAGGGCTTGGGTTGTGATAAGCACTAGCAAAGAAAGAATTAATGGGCCGGGGATTTAGCTCAGTGGTTCTGGCACCTGCCGCGCAAGCGCATGGTCTTGAGTTCGATTCCCCAGTACCCCCCCCAAAAAAAAAGAAAAGAAAAAGAAAGAAAGAATTAGTGGTGACAACACCCCTGTTGGAGAATTAGCTGGCAGGCAGGCTTCCTGGGGAGTGGAGGTGATCCAGCACTGGAATCTGAAGAGAGGGCCAGACCATACACAGGTCAAATGCAGAGGATAGAAGACTTGTCACAGGGCTGGGCCAGGAGCAAGGGGCTGCTGTGTCGGCTCAGAGAGCAAAGAAAGGTGGGCAGAGACCCTTCTGGGAAGTCTCAGGGATGTATTAGGAGAGGGGAGGCTTTTAAGCAGGCTGGTAAGATAGTTACTCTCCAGGTAACTGGCAGCAGGGTTGAGACAGTAGGTAGCATGCCCAGTGAAGAGGTTGGAACGGCCTTCTGGAGGAGATTGCAATGGCCTGAACCAGGGGGAGAGGGAGGGAAGAGAACAGTAGACAATATGAGATCACAGAAATGACAGCTGCTTGGGGAGGAGCATCAAGTGAAGCTAAGGTTAGAGGGTTCTAGGGTGCAGAGGAGTGGTGCTGTACCCCAGGGGGAAGATGCTGAGAAGGATGGTGCCCTAGATTCACTTACTTAGGGATGGCCTCCCAAGGCCCCTTGGTCTGGAGACTGCTACTGGGCTGCTTTGCTTGACTCAGGCCCACCTCTTACTGCTTCAAGAGCCTATGAAGATCACCTACCAGCCCATTGTCTCGGCCTTTCTGTAATGTGAAAGTACTGTAGTTCCACCTACACACAAAGTTATTTGTCCCTCTGGGTTGCCTGCTGCTGCCCTGGAATCCTGAAAGGGCAAGGGATTATTGGGTTCACCTCTGGGAGAACACTCAGCCCAGGACTAAGAACTAGTGGCTAAGAGAGTGATCACTTACTTCTTTCTTCCCTTCCTAGCTATGCTGTGGAGCGCAAGATTGAGCCTTTCTACAAGGGCGGGAAAGCACAGGTACCATCCCTGAAGTGAAGGTAGGGTCTGCATAGGGCTACCTAGTATTGCCTTAATCTGAGACTTCTGTGTCCCCAGCTGGACCAGACAGGCAAGCACCTCTTCTGCGTCTGTGGTACCAGAGTCAATGTCCTAGATGTGGCCTCTGGGACTATACTACAGAGCCTAGAACAGGTGAGAATAGGGTGGGCAAGGGTGAGGGGGTTAGTAGAAAGGGCAGCATGTTGTCATGGCACTCTGCTCCTGTTCTTTCCTTTAGGAGGACCAAGAGGATATCACTGCCTTTGACCTTAGCCCTGATGATGAGGTATGTGGGCCAGGGGAGGAAAGTGAGCTCTGGTACTTCCTCCCAAGCCAAGACATGAGGGTACCTCACCTGTGGGCTGAACTGCACCCTCCATCAGGTGCTGGTGACAGCCAGTCGGGCGCTGCTGTTGGCTCAGTGGGCTTGGCGAGGAGGCAGTGTTACTCGTCTATGGAAAGCAATACACACAGCCCCTGTGGCCACCATGGCCTTTGACCCTACGTCCACACTGCTAGCCACAGGTAGGGACCCAGCTGGGCAGGGGGGCTGGAAGGGACAGGGGCAGGGTCTTTGGACATACCCACTCCCTCACCTCAAGGATGTTCCTACAGGGGGCTGTGATGGAGCTGTGCGTGTCTGGGATGTTGTGCGGCACTATGGGACACACCACTTCCGGGGCTCACCTGGTGTTGTGCAGTGAGTGGGGCCATCAGAGGGTGGGAGCAGAGAAACCACTGATGGGTGGCCCAGCTCACCCATTCCCTGCCTGTCTGCAGTTTGGTGGCCTTCCACCCGGACCCCACTCGCCTGCTGCTCTACTCCTCAGCTGCGGATACTGCCATTCGTGTGTGGTCACTACAGGACCGCTCGTGCCTGGCCATGTTGACTGCTCACTATAGTGCCATCACCTCCCTGGCCTTCAGTGCTGATGGCCACAGCATGCTGAGGTGGGTGACAGGCAAAGCCTTGTAGGCCTTGGGAGGCAGGGAAAACGGGGTGCAAGGGCTTAGACTCCAGAACTGAGGGGGCTGTTTCTCCCCAGCTCCGGCCGTGACAAGATCTGCATTGTCTGGGACCTTCAGAGCTACCAAGCCACAAAGACTGTGCCAGTGTTTGAGGTACAGGTGACTGCGGGCCAGAGCCAGTGATGTGGGCCAGGGATGGAGTTGGGAATAGCTGCAATCTTTGAACTAATGCATCCTCAGAGTGTGGAGGCTGCTGTGCTGCTACCTGAGGAGTTAGCTCCTGCGCTAGGTGTGAAGAACTCAGGCCTGCACTTCCTGACAGCTGGTGACCAAGGTGTGTAGGGCTCGCCATGGGCAGGCCACAGGATTTGGGGTAGGCCTGTGGGTCTGTGAGTCCCAGCAGCTCTGTCCCCATGCAGGCATACTGCGTGTGTGGGAAGCAGCTTCTGGGCAGTGTGTGTATACTCAGCCAAAACTGCCAGGCCCAGGGCGAGAGCTGACCCACTGCTCCCTGGCCCACACTGCTGGCCTGCTCCTCAGTGTCACCGCCGACCACAACCTGATACTCTATGAAGCACGCTCCCTACAGCTGCAGAAACAGGTGAGCACATGTCCTTGCCCAGCCCAAGCTGAAGGTACCAGGCCTCCACTCATAAAGGGCCTGACTCATGTCCTTTTTTTTTGGTACCAGGGATCAAACTTGGGTCCTTGGGCTTGTGCAGCAGGCTGCAAAACCACTGAGCTAAATCCCCAGCCCTGACTCATGGCCTTCTTGACCTTCCCAGTTTGCAGGCTACAGTGAGGAGGTTTTAGATGTCCGGTTCCTTGGGCCCAAGGACTCCCACATCATTGTGGCCTCCAATAGCCCCTGCCTGAAAGTTTTTGAGCTACAGACATCAGCTTGCCAGATCCTCCATGGCCATACCGGCAAGTTGAGCCCACTGATACCCCTGAAACCCCATTCTGGGTTTGATTGTTGCCCATTCCCTCTACCTTACCATACTTGACCTCTGACCACTCCCTTTCTTTCATAGACATTGTCTTGGCCCTGGATGTGTTCCGGAAGGGGTGGCTCTTTGCCAGCTGTGCCAAGGTCAGTCCCCCAAAGGGTGTAGTACAGACTCTCTAGAAAATGAAGGTAATAGGACCACAGCCCAACCTCTCTCCTCAACTCCTCTTGTCCTCAGGATCAGAGCATCCGCATCTGGAGGATGAACAAGGCTGGCCAGGTGTCCTGTGTGGCTCAGGGTTCTGGACACACACACAGTGTGGGCACAATCTGCTGCTCCAGGTAGTAGGGTTGCAGGTGGATTCAGAAGTGTAGAAAAGGTGGAGACCCCAGCCTCCCAGTAGGGTTCCAGCTCATGGGTGGAGGGAAGAGAGAGCAGCTTGGGCGTTTTTCTTTGAGGCTCTAGCCCAGGGATGTAAGAGAATGGCTCCAGAGAGCCCAGGTGCCATGGGAGTGGGGAAGATTCCTTAGAAGTAACCTTGGGTTGCCAGGGATTTAGCTCAGTGGTTTCACCTCCTGCTTTGTAAGCACAAGGTCCTGAGTTCGATCCCCGGTACAAAAAAAAAAAAAAGTACCCTTGGGCAGAGAAAGTGGGGAGGCAGTATGCTGGAGAGGATGGCACTGAACAAGGCCCACTGGGAAAAAGCAAATCTTGCTAAGGGCTTGGGTCCCCTGGGGGAACCAAGTTGCCAGTATGGGGCACTGACAGTGGGTGGGCATGCAGAGGACCAGAGCCAGTTTGTATCCTTGGACTGTCCCACTGGTCTAGACCATAGTCCATGATGCCATTCCTATGATGTACTGACATTGCTGTCTGGGGCTCAGCAGTATCCTCTTTCCTATTGGGCTGTAGGCTGAAGGAGTCCTTTCTGGTAACGGGCAGCCAGGACTGCACTGTGAAATTGTGGCCCCTCCCTGAAGCCCTCCTATCCAAGAGCACAGCCCCAGACACTGACCCCATCCTTCTGCAGGCCCAGGCCACCCAGCGCTGTCATGACAAGGTGACCATGCATGACCTCTGGGGTGGCAGTGCCCAAGTCCTTGCTGGGGTAGTGGTCTGAGTTACCACCTTTTCCCATCACCAGGACATCAACAGTCTGGCTGTTGCTCCCAATGACAAGCTGTTGGCCACGGCCTCACAGGACCGCACAGCCAAACTCTGGGCCCTGCCACAGTGCCAGCTTCTGGGTGTTTTCTCAGGCCACCGACGTGGCCTCTGGTGTGTTCAGTTCTCACCCATGGATCAGGTGCTGGCCACAGCCTCAGCTGATGGCACCATCAAGCTCTGGTCCCTGCAGGACTTCAGCTGCCTCAAGGTAAACAGCATCCCCTCTAGTCCAGGGTCCCCTGGTGACATCTCACCAGGAGACATCTCATGTCCCCACCCTTCCCCCACAGACATTTGAGGGGCATGATGCTTCTGTGCTGAAGGTAGCCTTTGTGAGCCGTGGCACACAGCTGCTGTCTAGGTGAGTGCACCAGGGCCTAGGTGGGGGTGAGGTGGGGTAGGGAACAGGCTCCTCCTACTAAGCTCCCCCCACTCATCCCAAACCCAGTGGCTCAGATGGGCTTCTGAAGCTTTGGACCATCAAGAACAATGAGTGTGTACGGACACTGGATGCCCATGAGGACAAGGTCTGGGGATTACACTGCAGCCAGCTAGACGACCACGCCCTCACTGGTGGCAGCGACTCCCGAGTCATTCTCTGGAAGGTTGTGGCCCCTGAGAGTAGGGGTGGGCAAGGCAAGTAATAGGGACAGCTGTCTAACCCCATTCTCATCCCAGGATGTGACCGAGGCAGAACAGGCAGAGGAGCAGGCCAAGCAGGAGGAGCAGGTGGTCAAGTAAGCACGGGCTCTGCAGCAGCACCCCCATGCGCTAAGGAGTGTCTGTATACCCCCGCTTTATGGCATAAGGACACTGAAGCTGGGGGCTGAGCTCACACCAGTGGGTGCTAGGTGCTGGCCTCCTGACTACCTTCAGCCCCAGAGTCCAAATGGCCCCTGTCCTTTTCTTCCCATCACCAGGCAGCAAGAACTGGATAACCTGCTCCATGAAAAGCGGTACCTGCGGGCACTAGGCCTGGCCATCTCCCTGGATCAGCCCCACACTGTGCTGACAGTTATCCAGGGTCAGTGCTTGCCTCAGGGGCAGGCTAGGGCTGGGGTAGACTCGAGACCATCGAACCCCTTCCTGGAGCTCAGACTTGCCTCCTCCCACAGCCATTCGGAAGGACCCAGAGGCCTGTGAGAAGCTAGAAGGCACTGTGCTCCAACTGCGTCGAGACCAGAAAGGTCTTGGGCATGTGGGCTGGAGCCAGTTAGCAGGAGTGGCCTGGTGGGCAGGAGGAGGGTAGAATATCCTTGCAGGCAGGGTGACTGTCCCTATTGCCCACAGAGGCCCTGCTGCGTTTCTGTGTCACATGGAACACCAACTCCCGGCATTGCCATGATGCACAGGCAGTGCTGAGTGTGCTGCTGCAACATGAGGCCCCTGAGGAACTTCTGACCTATGAGGGTATGCGGGCTGCACTTGAGGCCCTGCTTCCCTACACTGGTAGGTAGGCACAACCTGGGTATCGGAGCAGCCTGGTGGGCTCATGCATTTCCTGACCTCCCTCTGTCCTCTCCAGAGCGGCATTTTCAGAGGCTCAGCCGGACACTCCAGGCAGCTACCTTCTTGGACTTCCTATGGCACAACATGAAGCTGTCCCCTCTCCCTGCTCCCCCCTCAGCTCTCTGAGACACATAAAGGCATACTTTCCCTATCCACACTGCATCTGGGCTGTCTTCCCCCAGGTCCCTAGCCACAACCTTCACCAACCAAGATGCACCTTGGTGCCTGATGGTCTCGATGTGTCAGATCACCCCACCCCAACCCCAGCCTGGCTGAGGTTACACGGGCCCTCCTGTCAGCACAGTGAGACCAGGTGGAGTCATCCAGAAATTTTACTCAAAGGAAATTGGAATTCCCCCTCCCACCCTCATCCATTCCTTTCCCAGGCCTGGGGATGATGCAGCCATCTGCCATCTGAGATCTGGATCCTGAACATTCTGCTTGACCTGGGGTTGGGATACACAGCCAGCTTCTCTGCAGAGTGAGCCCACAACCTCAAGGAGGGTTATGAGGCCCTGAGTTCCACACCAGTGCCCTACGAGTGATAGTGCAGCAGCGACTCTGAATGGCACTCAGCAGAGGGCGGGTGGGCACAGGAGGTGAACTGGTAGTAGCCTTGTTTTCCCTGTCCTCCCTGCCAAGGATTGCTGGCCCACTCAAGAATGCACCCAGTCTTTCAGGTTGCAGCAGTACTGAGGGGAGCAGACCAGCCCTGTCGCAGTACCTGAAGAGTGGGGCTTGGTCAGAGATGGCCCCTTCCCCATTCCTTTGGCTGGGTCTGCCAAAGCCCCACCCTCACACACCTGCACAGCCACCATCCACGGTCAGAAGTTTCTAACACCTGCACACGGGCCCCTGCTGGCACTGACAGCTCATCAGCACGGCTCCCCTTGTAGGCGCGGGAAATACAGAACTGGGTCCCTGAGAGTGAATGTTTGTGGGTCATGGTAGTGTAGCAAGAGGCCAGGGGCTCCAGTCTTTCCTGCAGTAGCCTCCCCTGGCATCCAGGGTCACTCTGAAACCTACTCAGCTTCACTGCAGCTGTGGGCATCAAGCATATGCCACTGCCTCCCTCCCCATTTGGGGGCTGTCCTCAGGCCTGGGGTTGGGGTAGGGTCATACCACTGCTTCCCTGCGTTAGGCCCACCTCATGGGCCACCTCCTCCAGATAGGGAGCTGGAAACCAGGCCTTTTGCTGGTCTTCGTTCTCCACTAGCCACCAGCCTGTGCTCAAGGCGAGGGAGGGGTTTGGGTTCTGAGGCCAGCTCCAATCCAGGGGACAGGAGGGGAAGTCCCCAGTCCCTGTTATCCCTACCTGAGGGGTGTCGTAGCAGCACATCCAGGCTTTCCCGGGCCTCTGCATGGAAGGGCCTGCCTTTTGTGTCCTGGGTGTGAAAGGGCTGTACGCAGCAGAGGCTCTGAGCCTCCAGGCTATGGATGGTGAGGCTGTCCAAAGGGCGGGGTGAGGGCTCTTCTGGGGCAGGCAAAATCACCGTGCTGGGGAGGACAGCCAGCATAGGTAACAAGTGAGTGGGGAGCGTGGGAATGGGCCCACCACCCACCAGGAATTGGCCCAGGCTCCCAATTATGGCCTCTTAATGCCTCTGTGGGCTAGGAAAAGGGGCTAGTCAGGCACCTGCCAGGAGGCAGTGCAGATTCCAGGTCTCGGGCTTGTGGCGCAAAGAAACCTGTGAGCACTGGGCTCCTCGACACTCGCTCCACAGTGGCCAGAAGCGCCTGTGCATAGGTCTCCAACAGCCGCAAGCGCGCCAGACCTCGGCCCACGCGCCCTCCGCGGGAAAGCAGTGGTGCGTCTGCGGGCACAACAAAGACATTACGGGAATCCGCAAGCCCCGCCCCAGGCTTTGCTTTCCTCGAACCTCCTGGGACTCTGGTGGTCTGACCTGGCAGCTTGGGGAGAAGGCGATCAGATCTCCGCAGCAGGCCTGCCTCCACTGGAAAGGTCTCCTTGAGGGTCTTCTGATAAGGACAGTGGGGTGTTGGTCTCTGAGAGAGCGGTGTACACCCAGGGAGAGTGGAGGTCATAGGGGCTGGAAGCCTTCAGAAAAAAGAGAGGCCCTCCGGCGGGAGTTGCCACCCCATTAGTGTGGCCCCAGAGTTACTTGCCTGAAGTTGCCTGAACTCATCCCAGTTCCTGCACACAAAGGTGTCACTGCCATCCGACCAGTGCACGGAGAAGGCGAACATCTGGGTGACGAAAGGTTAAGGGTCCCTAGGAGAAGCTGGACAGGACACCCCCTTGGGACAAGCAGGGACCCTGTGCCATCATACCTGAGGCCGCTCCATCTGCACCAGTGCTGCCGCCCTTACTGACACCAGGTGCCGGGAACTTGCCATCACTGCAGCCTCCATCTTTAGTGATTCTGGAGTGCTGGGGAGTGGCAGAGGTTATGCTGCCTCCCAGTCCTCAAGGGGGCTCTGAGCAGTTAAACTACCCGGAAGACTGGCCTGAGTGGAATTCCCCGCCCACGCCCCAAACTGAGTCCCTGTGCAGTTACCACGCCCCTGGTCTTTCAGAGTTTCCTTGGACTCTCCTATGCCCCAGATCTAGGGGATTCCAGTTACAGGAACGCCAGGTTTTAGGGGGAACTGAAGGTAAGGACAAGGAAGCGGGGATAAGCTGCCTGCCCTGGAAGTGTGCAAGACAGTCTTGAATCTAGACGGGCTCTAGAGGGGGTGGGACTGCCATCTGAGTCCCATCCTCCAGGATATGACCTTGGGAAAAGAGAAGGAAGGCTCTTCAAAGCGCTGCCTCACTCCTTCCCTTGGGACCCCCTGGCCCTCCTGCCAGGACCCTCCCAGTACAAGTATCTCCCTACTTCCTCCTCTTCCCATCTCTCTCCTCCCTTGTCCTCTCCCTCTCCCCATCTTACCCTGCTCTGCAATTTTTAGGCTCAACAGCTCTGTCTCTGAATTCCATGGGGCTCTCCATGCCCTTGCCATCTGGAACCAATGGCCCAGTGCTCAGTGCAAGTGCTTTTTCCAGTTTAATCCTATTGTGAGAAGGTCTCTTAATGTCCCTCAGATATTACTTAGACCCTGTTTCTCAAGTCCCAAGTCTCACCAGTCCAAGGGACCCCTCCCCACTCTCCTTTCCCAACTCAGGCAGAAAAACTCAAAAGTATCTGGGTGAGCAAGGTGGTACATAATTCTAAGTACTTGGTAGGCTAAGGCAAGAGGATAGAAAGTTCATGGTGGTCTAGGCAATTTATTGATACCCTGCCTCAAAATTTAAAAATCGCTGGGCATGTAGCTTAGTGGTAGAACATTTGCACATACGAGTATAGGGTTAAATGCCTAGTATAGAAAAAACACCTCGATCTGTTTAACACAAATTTCCTTTTTGACTTGAAGACATTAAGAGACCCTCCCACATTAGGATAAAACCAGAGAAAGCACTTGCACTGAACGGTGAGTCACTGGTTCCAGATGACAAAGGCATGGAGCCCCACAGAATTCAGAGACAGAACTACTGGTCCTAAAATATGGCTGAGATCAAATTTCCCTACTCCAGGCTCTCCAAAGTGGTCATTATGTGGGGCATCACTCCAGGAAATTGCCTTGGTCTGAATAAAGGGCTTTTGTGTGCTCTACCATTGGCTTTCTCTGAAGTCCTGAAACGCTTCCTGTTCTTGGCCCAGGCAGTGAACACCTGCTGACACAGGTGAATGCCGGGTGCCTTCAGCACAGCTGTTACCCTCCCCTCTCAACTTCAGCTGAGGGCCCAGCTGGCCTGATGAGGTCCAAGGTAGCACAGACCCTATTCCCCTGTGCAGGGATCTAGTTTGACATGACTATAGCCATTGACCTCACCCTCATCTGGGCTACCAGGAAATACTGGCAAAAACTTAAACACTAGAAGATAAATGATGTCACGAAGATGATCAGTCCAGCATTTCCTGCTGGGCAGTAACACCCAGACAGTCTCGGAACTGACACTTCACATAGTTTTGAGATAGTCCATGTACATTCTGATGGGCCTTGGGTGACCTTCGTGTAGTTTAGCACAGAAGCCTCTTTATTTTGCCTCAGGGTGTGGCAATCTTGTCTGCTGCACCCAAGACATACTTTGGTCTGTAAGTCCCTAAGGAATTACATTTTGTGCAGTCTTGAATCTGTCTGCTTCTTCCATCTCTCAGTATCTGTCTTTAGTGATGGGCTCTTTTCTTTCCTTCCTTCCTTCCTTTCTTTCTTTTTATTTTTCTACAGGGGCTCAGTATGTAGTTCAGGCTGGCCTGGAACTTGTGGTGATCCTCCTACCTCAGCCTCACAAATGCTGAGACTACAGGGGTATGCAACCACACCCAGCATGATTGGTTTTTTTGTTTTTGGTTTTTTTTTGGTACTGGGGATAGAACTCAGGACCTTGCACTTGCAAGGGAGGCTCGGTGCCACTGTGCTAAATCCCTGGCCCATGATTAGTTCTTATATACAGATTTTTCACAGACATCTAGAAAGATAGGAGGAGGAGGAGGAAGGCCAGGCACAGCCAGAGAGCTAGAAGGATTGTGAGGCTCTCTCCAACTGACAACCCCCACCAAACCTGGATCTTTCCACATTTTCCTCTCCATCACCTTTACTTTCTCTCACACAAAAAAATGCAACACGCCAGGCATGGTGGCAGACACCTGTCATCCCAGCACTCTGGAGGCTGAGGCAGGAGGATTACTGCAAGTTCAAGGCCAACCTGACCTACATAGTGAATTCAAGGCCAGCCTGAACTACAAAGTGAGACCCTGTCTCAAAAAACTACAACCACCCCATCACTGCTGTGGATGGCAGGCCATCCCTTGTCCCTAAGAAATCCACTGTACATATGATACCCAGAGAATCTTGGAATAGTGGAGATTGGATCAGGTAAACCAGGTGCAGTGGCTCATGCTTATAATCCTGGCACTCAGGTAGACTCAAGCAGAAGGATCACAAGTTCAAGTCCTACTTGGGCAACTCAGTGAGACCGTGGTTCAGAAAAAGCAAAAGGGCTGGGATGTAGCTCAGGGATAGAACACTCCTGAGTTCAATCCCCCAGTGCCCAGGGGAAAAAAAAGGTATCAGGTCAAAGTAGTCCTGCTCCAAACTATCCAGTACCTTTCCATTGCTCTTAGAACAAATCCCAATTCCATGGCAGCTGACAAAGTCCTTGGTGGGACCTTGCCCAACTGTGGATCTCCCCCTCCCACCTCCTTCCCAGACTCCTGCCCCAATTGGGCTTTTTGCTCCTGAAAAATGTCAAGATCTTCTCATCTTAGGTTTGGTCTTGAAGGGGCTCCTTAGCTGACCTCTATACCTTCAGGCCTCTGCCTAATGGGTTCCTCCTCAAGAAGGCCTTCCATATTTTCTACACCCTGTACATGGCCCCATCACAGTTTGTAAGTGAACATTTATCAGTGTAATTCTTTAGTTTTTCTGTCTTTTTTGTTTGGTTTGTTGGTTTGTTTATTTATTTATGGAGACAGGGTCTCAGGATGGGGATTTAGCTCAGTGGTTCTGGCACCAGCCTCCCTGGTACCAAAAAAAAACAAAAAAAAACTTCTGCACTGCAAGAGAAACCACGAAGAGCTAAGAGACAACCGACAATGAGGAGACAGGGTCTCATTTTGTAGTGCAGGCTGGCCTCAAACTAACAATCCTCCTGCTTCAACATTTGAAGTGCTGGGATGTTATTTTTTTTATTCTATCTTTTTTTTTTTTTTTTTGGTTTTGGTTTTTTTTTTTGGTACTGGGGATCAAACTCGGGACCTTGTACTTTCGAGGCAGGTGGTGGCACCACTGAGCTAAATCCCCGGCCCTTTTTATTTTATCTTGATCACTGTTTGGACTATGAGCTAAGGAGGTAATGGATGGATATTTGTTCCTTGTCCTGCCCAGTACCTGGAGTAGCACTTGGTTTTGGGTTTTTTTGTTTTTTGTTTGGTACTGGGGATCGAACTCGGGTCCTTGTGCTTGCACAGCAGGCGGCGAAACCACTGAGCTAAATCCCCGGCCTGGAGTAGCACTTGGGACAGAGTATGTACTACACAAATTTTTATAAAATGACTACAAGGAGGTAGAGGAATCTTGGAGGCCACTATCTAGGTGGATTTAATAATCCTTTATCCCTGGGCTGGTCCTGGTGCTGCATGCCTGTAATCCCATCACTTGAGTGGCTGAGACAGGAGGATCGCTCTGAGTCTGAGTTACATTTCAAGTTAAAGGCCAGCCTGAACTGCATAGGGAGACCTTGTCTCAAAAAAAAAAAAAAATCCTTTATCCAAGCAGGCATGATGGTGAGTGCCTGAAATCCCAGCACTGTGGGAGGCTGAGGCAAGAGGATTACAAATTTGAGCCCAGCCTGGGCAATTTAGCGATTTATTGAGACCATGTCTAAAAACAAAACAAAACACAACACCAAAAAACAGGTTAAGGATGTAGCTCAGTGCAGAGCCCCTAGGTTCAATCCCCATTACCGGCAAAACAATAAAAACAATAATATGGACCAGGCCTGGTGGCGCACACCTGTAACCCCAGCACTTGGGAAACTGAGGTAAGAAATCTCTGTGGCAAGAGGATCCCTGCAAGTCTGAGGCCAGCCTAGGCTACCTAGTGAGTTCAAGAACAGCCTGAACTACATGGCGGGCGAGACTGTCTCAAAGAACCAAAAAAACCCCAAAGTAATCTTTTGCCCAAGATGTGAAATAGCTGGGAACGCTCCCCTTCTTCTGCAACTTCGCTCGCACGCATTCCCAAGGTGCCCTGTAGCTCCTGGGCCCTAGAGCCTTCGGACCTCTATGCTGTCACGCGGCTCCCGGGGTTGCCATGGCGCCAGTAGAAGGCTGCAGGGTGTGCTGCCCAGCTGAGGGCACCTTGGGAGGGGGGCGATGGGGGCGTCGCGGGCCGCATCCTGGACCTCGACTGGGCCTCAGCCCGAGAGCTCAACGCGGCCACGGCGCTATTTCCACAGCACGCTGATCTTTTACTGGAGGAAACGCGAGCGCCGCAATGGACGGCGAACGACAAGCCCAGTCCAGGGAACGAGGTTCAGGGGCACTAGCTAGCCCCAGGCCTCCGGCCCCAACGTCGCCTCGGCCCCGGGCCCCGGTTCGGCTGCCGGCTCCACCTGGGCCTTCTGCCCCGCCTCGCCCAGCCCTCTGGCCTCGGGCTCCGCCTCTCCCGAGCCCGCTCCGCAGCCTCCGACCCCGCCTCGACTCCGTGGCCCACCCCGGCGCCGGGCCCCTCTTCGCCTTCAGGCCACGCCTCGGGTCTCGGTTCTTTCGGGTGGCCTGGAGGCCGATTTGGCGGCCCAGCTGGAACCCGGCCTGGCCCGGCAGGCTGTGCGCGGACAAAATGGCGGCGCCCGGCGAGCAGGAGCGCTCGTTCTACGGCAGTCTCTTTTCCTTCCTCCCTGGTGGCACGCGGTCTGAGGGAACTGACGACCTGGTGACAGACGCGCGGGGCCGCGGCGCGGGGCGCAAGGACGCCGCCACTCTGGCCTCGTCTCCCGGCCAGGCGCCGGCCTCAGAGTCCTCGGGCACCCATGACGCCTCACGTAGGCGGCCCTGCCGGGCCTGCGTAGACTTCAAGACGTGGATGAGGACGCAGCAGAAGGTGCAGGTTCCCCGCGCGACCTCTGAGCTCCGGCCCTCGGCCCCATGCCTTGTTATTGGGAGCCCGGGGCAGACATCCTATGGGTTCACGCCCCCGGGGTTGGCTGTGCCTAAACTCTGCTCCCCACCCCACCCCACCCCACCCGTAGGCCTGAACTTTGAGCTTTCAGCCGCTCGCGGGCCCAATTGTTTGAGGACTTCTGTCCTTAGGCTGTGGGCTTTCGTCTGGGGCTGGAAAAAGAGTACTTTGATTTTTTTTGAACCGGTGGTCTTGTGCATGCTAAGCTAGTGCTGTACCCAGAGCTACGTCGAAAGGGGGATATTTGTGGGTCTGTGGTTGGGGGAGAATGAACTGACCCTTAGTCGGCCTACTTCTGCAGCGGGACAAGAAGTTTAGGGAGGATTGTCCACAGGATCGCGAGGAACTGGGTCGTCACAGCTGGGCTCTGCTCCACACCCTGGCTGCCTATTACCCGGACCAGCCCACCCCAGAACAGCAGCAAGACATGGCCCAGTTCATCCATTTATTTTCCAAGTTTTACCCGTGTGAGGAGTGTGCTGAAGACATAAGGGAGAGGTAAGCTGTGACCACTCTCTGCAGGCAACAGAACCGAAGGGCTGTGATCCATTGGTGGATGGCACAGAAAGCCTAGCAAAATGGATACAGATGTGGCAGAGGATTGCCTAGGAGCAAGGACTACCACCTGGGAGAGGACTGGTCACATGAGCTTTCTCCTTTCTCCTCAGAGGCTGAGCTGCCTGGATCCACCCTTGGGTGCCTGCTGGTTTTTGGCAGCAGCCATACTTCCCGGAAGTGCTTCCCTGATGGGTGCCTTGCTTTGCACTCATGGACAGGCTAGCTAGGGCTCCACTTTGCCTAACTGATGGAAGTGGATTGCTGGTTTTAAGACCTTGGGAACATACTACTTTGCTCCCCCCAACTACCTCTTCCCCATCAAGGCACCCAAAGGTCAAGCCTATTCCCTGATAGGTGGTTTGAGCTTGGACGTGGGGTACAGCTGCCGATGCAGTTTAAAGCCTGGGCAACTAGAATGAGGTTTCTTATTTTATTTATTTTTTGGTACCAGGGACCAAACTCAGGTCCTCGTGCTTTCGAGGCAGGCGGCAGAACCACTGAGCTAAATCCCCGGCCCTTAATAGAAGTTTCTTGTTGAATTGGGGCAGCAGGCTTCAGGTGCTGTTTGCAGTTATGAGGCTGTGCGTGGCCCCACCTCTGCACGGCCCCACCTCTGCACTTTGCCTGAGGCCAGAGACACTGAGCTGAGGCTTCCTGATTTTTACAAGGTTATAAAGTTAACCTGGTCTGTGCTTTATTTTAATGTCTTGCCCTGAGCATTTGTTAGGGTTTGCCAAGCTCCCCAAGGGGATGTGTGGAGCAGCCCTGGAAGTCCACACCCAGTAAACCATGGGGTCAGCTCTGTTCTTGGAATTCCTGTACCTTAGAGCATAAGGGCACACCCAGGTATGACTCACTGCAGCATTCAGCTCCCTCCCAAGGAGATGACACTGCCTTCTTCTATCGTCTTTCTTGTGCTCCCCACACAGGATAGGCAGGAACCAGCCAGACACTCGAACTCGGGCGTCCTTCACCCAGTGGCTATGCCATCTGCACAACGAGGTGAACCGAAAACTGGGCAAGCCCGACTTCAACTGCTCGCAGGTGGATGAACGCTGGCGTGATGGCTGGAAGGACGGCTCCTGTGACTAAAGGAGGGCCAGCCTGGGTGGAGAGGGGTGAGGCACTGATTAAAGTGCATCTGAACCGGAGCCTGTTGTGTCTCAGTAGGACAGTCCCCAGGACACTGCCCACAGAGGTCCTCCCCTCCGGCACAATACAGAAGTGGAGGTGCCCACTGAAAGCACTCTGTGGCCTCAGCTGAGGCTCCAAGGGACTGACGGTGATGGAGGCAGGAGCAGTCATGCTTGCCACTTGCCTCCTGCCCCAACTCCACAACATGCACCTAGTTCCCCCAAAAGGAAGACAAGGGGCATGGTTGGGGTTCCCTGTGCCTGCTCCGTGAGGCCATGCCATTGCCTTCCCACTGAGAAGCTGGGGATCCCTCAATGGCTGTGCTGTTGCTGCTTCTGGAATAAGGCCTGCTGTGTGCTTAGTCTCCACAGGGAAAGCTCAGGCAGAGTTTTTCTCTGAGGGTCCACTCACCGTGCTACTCACTTCCCAGCAGGCACATGGTCTTTCACAGTGGTGGCAGGCTTGTCCGAAGAGGATCCTGGGGACAGCTTCCTTAGAGTTTTGAGACCAAAATAAAATGCTGGGGAAGTGACTGAAGTGGTGTTTTCATTGTGCTTTGTTCTGGGACTTTGTTTTTCTCCTCTTCTTCCTCTTTTTTTTTTTGAGACAGTACATTGATATATAGTTCAGGCTGGCCCTGAACTCCCTGTGTAGTCCAGGCTATTCTCAAACTTGTGTCGATCCTCCTGCCTCAGCCTCAACCTCCAGAGTGCTGGGATTATAGCCATGTGCCACCATGCCTGGCTCTCCCCCTTTTCTGCTCAGCTGTGTTCTCCTGTCGGATTCTGGCTTCTGAAAGGAGCAGTGCCTCAAAGTGGGAGGCCAGGGTTATCCCAAAAATAGCAGCTGGAAGTTGCTCTTTGCACCAGTAAGACAGATAAGGTGATGAATTTAGTTAAGTTTGGGGTGACCTAGACCCTGGATCTGCTCAGCACCACCTGTCCCCAGCCCTTGGCTCCCAACCAGAGTAGCCAAGCAGCAGTGTGTGTCCCTGTCCCATGATCATAAAGCTCTAGTCTTTTTTTTTTTTTTTTTTTGGTACTGGGGATGGAGCTCAACACCTTGCCCTTTTGCTTGTGAGGCAGGCAGCGGCACCACTGAGCTAAATCCCTGGCCCTGGCCCTGCCCCTAGTCTCTTTCATCCCTATTGTCAGCCTCTCCTGGGTCAGAATCAACTTTGGCAAGGCCTCCTGTTCCTTCAACAGAGGAGCTGAAGTACCTTCACCTGAAGGGCCCCATTGGACATGCTGGCTTCTGCAGGTGCTGCCCAGAGGGGCCAGTTGACACAAATGAGATCAAGCAGCCAGCAGAGAAGTTACTCATCCGCCAGGCACAGGGCTGACTTTTCTTAAGGCCTAACGTAGCTTAATGCACATTTGCTGGGGATTCAAGTGCCCTCTGGAAGCTGTGTTCAGTTCAGGATGAGATGCCTGCATTTTCATGCCCTCCTTTCCTTTTGCACTTCCCTTTGTTCCTAACTGGCTTCCCCATAGTTAGTGTCTGTCTGTCTGTCTGTCTGTCTGTCTCTCCCTCTCTCTTGTCTCTCTGATACACTCTTCACCAGAGTATTTTCCAGGGCATGGGCTAACACAGTCCAAGAGAAGGTTCTGGGTCAAGCTGCCATTTGAGTGCTGTCAGCATCTAGAATAAGGGAGCTGTTACACAGAGAGAAGAGTCCAAGGACAGGACCTGGGCCCCTAAGGCTTGTAGGTCTGGCAGGAAAAAGCACCTGAAAAGGGCTGCCAAGAAAGGGTATATGAAGGCTGGGGATTTAGCTCAGTGGTTCCGGCGCCTGCCTCAAGCGCAAGGTCCCAAGTTTGATCCCCCATACCAAAAAAAAAAAAAAAGTACATGATGGATGGAGATGGAGCTCAGTAGTAAAGTACTTGCTTGGCATGATTAGACCTGCCTCTGAGACTGGCAGGTGGAAGTTTGAGGCAGTTAGGAGCTTTTGGGGGGTTTCAGAGGGACAGAAAAGAGGTGTTGAAAGCAGAGGATGACAACTCCAGTTTGCTGCTAAAGGAAGCAAGCAGAGAGAAGTGGGGTCAAGAGCTGTTTGTTTTTTCAAGCACAGCATGTTTGGTTGCTGATACAAATGATATGTGGGAAGGGGAGAACTAGATAACAGGAGACCTAACTCTGACAGGTGAGAGGGATGAGATTGGGAATGAGGTGTACCTGACATGAAAAAACCCTAGTACCTCTGGCCATATCTGCCCTGCCCACTGGTCCATTTCTAGGCTGAGAAAGTTTGAGACCAGAACTAGGGGGTCCCCAGAGTGCTGGGCCAGGCATCACTTCATGTCTACACTTCCCATACTCCTGCAGTAAACCACTCAGCACTGTCCATGCTCAACTAGACAGACTGCTTATTCTGCACTGATCCCAGGAAAGCAGAGATGCATAACTGGGGACCTTTCCTATGCCTCCCTACTGCACCCTACCTTCTCCAGAAAGGTCAGATGTGAAAATGACCTCCTTCCAGTCTTGGGAAAAGAGGTCTTGTCACCAGAGTGACAAGAGTTTATGGGAGACCCACTAGGGATCACGGCAGCTTCCCTCTCTGCTGCTGCTCCCCTTCTTCCCTCTTAATTCCCAACTCAGACTCAGTTCTTTTTTTTTTTTTTTTTCTCGTACCGGGGATCGAACTCGGGACCTTGCTAACCCTATCTTGCGCTTTCGAGGCAGGCGCCGGAACCACTGAGCTAAATCCCCGGCCTTCAGACTCAGTTCTTAAAGTCACAAGAGAGACCTTGGAGGATATGCAAGAGGGCTTCTGCCGACCACCACTTGGCCCAGGAAAGGTGCAGAGATGCCCAACATTCATCCATGCGGGCCCCTTTGGTCTTTGCCTCCTACACAAATGTCCCTGCAGGAAGACAGCATTCTTCCGACCTGAGTTTAGATTTTTCTGAGAGAACCTGGGAAGCAAAAGGGTCATAGGAAAGGCCCCCAGTTACCTCTCTCTGGTCTTTTGGGACCAGGGACAGGGAGCCAGTTGTCTCTCCCTGCGGGAAGGGGGAAAAGATGCTGGGCTTCAGTTTCCCTTTCTGAACTTGCCTTTCTGTCCCTGCCTCCCCTGGCCCACCCCTGCCCCCACGGGGACCTGGCCGTTGGTCACCAGAGCTTCAGCACCACGTTGGGAACAGCAGATGAGGGTGGGCGGGGCGGATGAAGGGCAGGGCCTGGCCCTACGAGTGGACCCGTGGGGGGCGCCGGCTCGGCCCCGCCCCGGCCCGCGCGCCCCCGCCGCGCGCTCTCGGGAGGCGGCAGCAGCGGCGGCGGCAGTATCCATCCAGAGCATCAGCAGTCTCGGCAGCATCCCAGCATCCTCGGGCGGGGCCGGCCGTCGGACGGACGGACAGAGGTTGCCTGGGGCGAGTGGCCGCCCAGGCCGGCCATGGAGGGCTCCTCGTTCGGCGCCGGCCGCGCAGGGGCCGCCCTAGACCCAGTGAGCTTCGCGCGGCGGCCGCAGACTCTGCTGAGGGTCGCGTCCTGGGTGAGTGGCCCCTGCCCAGGACCCCTCCCCATCCCTTGTTCCCCCACCCTCCTCCAGGCCCTCGCCCCCAGCCCCTCTCCCTCGTCTTCCCCTTCGCTGGCCCCTCCTCCGCCCGGCCGCAGGTTGAGGTGACGTCACCGGGCTGGGCGCGCCCACCTGCAGGCGGGGGAGGGGCTGGCAGCCACCCAGGGACCTTGAGAGGTCACCGCCGGTCGCCCCCTGCCCCCAATACCTCCTTAGGTCTAACTCCAATCCCTTTCCTCAGCCTTCTCTCCGTTTTTTCTGTTCTCACGACCTGGAAGTGGACCCCAGGGTGGGGACTATTCGCCCAAAAGCTTGGAGGCTCAGCCCCAGCACGATGAAGGAACTAATGGAGCCCAGAGTGATCAGGAAGGGAGTCCCTCTTTGCCGCACACACAGCTGCCAGGCCCCTTTGAAAGGAGTAGGCCCTCTCCAGGCCGCCCAGATCTGGGTGAGAGTTAAGAGAGGGGTCTCATGCTGGGAGGGCTTCCTGGAGGAGGTGCCAGGTGTGAGGCATTCTGGCCCTTGGAGCGTGCCTTGCTCCTCTTCACCCTTCCAGTAGGGTGCCCAGTTCTAGGTTTTGTTTTAGAGAAGGGCGGTGCCCAGAGAGGGGCAGGGCCCCGGGCTTCCCTGTGGAGTGACTGACTAGACCAGGAAGCAGGAATCTTGTGTCTGGCCCCAACTCTGCTTCCTACTTGTGGACTGCATAGGGGGGACATTTCCATGTTCTACCTTTCCCCTTGGTCTCTCGGAGGTGGGCCAGGAAAAGAGTAAAATGATGCAGTTGAGAGCAAGGTCAGTTTTTGGAAACAGGGCTGCACAGAGCTAAAGAACAGGGTGAGGTTTAAAAGGACTGTGGTCCACCCCCTATCTGCCTGCCCGAACTGTGAGAAGGTACTGAGATTGGGCCGAACTCTAAAGGTCAGTGATGTTGCCTTTTGAACCCAAATGCTCCCGGCTGATATTAATTAAATTAAAGTGGGGAACATCATCCTTCAGATACCCACCACTGCAGAAGCTGGTGGATGTTCTCCCACCCAGCCCTCCAAGCAACTGGGCTGTTTACCCAGGAAGCATGCTAGAAGGCAGGCGCACAGCTCCCAGATGCTGAGAGCAGGTTCGACCTGGGGCCTGGCCTATACCTCTGTATGGTCTCCCATCCGATCCTCCCTTCCCCACACCCTCCAGACTGCAGTTCTGGACTCACCAACCTTCCCATGTGAAGACTCCTGTTCCACACTCTGGAGTGTGCCCTGAGTGGACACCATGGTGCCTAGGCCTTGCAGAGGAGCTGGCTTGAATCTCTTCCCTGGTTTTGATAAACCTTGTGGCCCTGGACAATCACTTTACCTGTTGGAACCCCAGTATCCCCAGCTGCAGAGGGGATAAGAACGATGTAGCTCAAGCTGGGCCTGGTGGCACATATCTGTAATCCCAGCACTTGGGAGGCTGAAGCAGGAAGATCACTGAGAGTTCAAGGCTAGCCTGAACTGCACAGTGGTACCATCTCCAAAACAAAAAACAAAAACAAAAAAACTATGTAGCTGCTGTACTTAAAAGTGGTGTTAGCACGGTACCTGGACCTAGCAGATGCTCACTAACTGGTTCGTGTTGTTCATAATTACTAAATGCTTGAGGGGTGGGGAATACTTCAGGCGAACACGGGCACAGGCCTGGAGACTCGAGGTGCTAGAGGGAGGAGGGCCTGTGCAGGGCCTTGAGCAGCGCCACCCGCAGGTGTTCTCCATCGCCGTGTTTGGGCCTATAGTCAACGAGGGCTACGTGAACGCCGACAGCGGCCCAGAACTGCGCTGCATCTTCAATGGGAACGCGGGCGCCTGCCGCTTCGGGGTCGTGCTGGGACTCGGGGCTTTCCTCGCCTGCGCCGCCTTCTTGCTGCTCGACGTGCGCTTCCAGCAGATCAGCAGCGTCCGCGACCGTCGTCGAGCCGTTCTGCTGGACCTGGGGTTCTCAGGTAGGCGGGGCCAGGAGGGGATGGGGCCTGACTTGAGAGGCGGAGCCTGGCCCACTGAACGCCCCGGGGCTTCAGGGGCTTGCGGCCCGGCTCCTGCGAGGGAGGGATCAGCGGTGGGCGGGGGCCGCGGTGAGCGGGCTGGTTCTCAAGTGAGCCTCTCGGGACCGTATGCTTGCCCTGCGCCCGCGGGGGCTGGCATCCTGGGGCCGACTTCAGACGGGGGGAAGCGAGGCACACCGTGAGCCCTAGGTCTCTGCTGGTGACAGAACACCCCTGGTTGTGGCCGCCGCTCTTAGGTCTCTGGTCCTTCCTATGGTTCGTGGGCTTCTGCTTCCTCACCAATCAGTGGCAGCGCACCGCGCCAGGGCCCAGTACCACACAGGCTGGGGACGCTGCTCGGGCTGCCATCGCTTTCAGCTTCTTCTCAATCCTCAGCTGGGTAAGTGTGCACCCACGGGGCAGCGGAAGACAGGGGTACTTCATCTGGCCCAGCTGACCCGCGTCACCCCCTCCCCCAGGTGGCGCTCACCGTGAAGGCCCTGCAGCGATTCCGACTGGGGACCGACATGTCACTCTTTGCCACAGAGCAGCTGGGCGCCAGGGCAGGCCAGGCCTACCCTGGCTACCCGGTGGGCAGCGGCGTGGAAGGCACCGAGACCTACCAGAGCCCGCCCTTTACCGAGACCCTGGACACCAGCCCCAAAGGGTACCAGGTGCCTGCCTATTAGTGGCTGGCAGGTGCAGGCAAGGGCTCAAAAGCCACCCCACCAATTCAGGCCCCAAGGCCACCTGGGACTTCCCTCAGGTCCTCCCCACCCAGCGCCAGGGACACGGGGGGTGGCCATTGTGGGCTTCCATGGGCCAAGTGGAGGGAGCCCCTCTGGGATGCCTGGGCTGTCCCCACCAACCCCCCCTACCAAGATGGCCCAGACCTGAGATCCTGGAAGAGGGCAGCACAGCCTGGGATGGGCTAGGGAAGAAGAGGCAGTCCCTTCTTGAAGTAGGCAACCTGGGGCTTACCTGTCCACTCCAATGCCGGGGGTCCAGCTGCTATACACAGCCTGGTGCTGGGCTTCCCAGAACCGGGGGTAAGGACACTAATCTCACCTTGAGGCCAGAGATTGTGGCCACTGTTCCCATCCCCAGTTCCTATGGATAGTGACTACCTTTGCTGTTGTATTGGTTGCCCTCTCTGGAGCCTCCCTTCATTTTGACTCATAGACTCTAGAGCAGCCTGGCCTGTTAGTGTTGTGATTGTGGTGAAGTCTTCAGGTTTCATCTCATAGTACCCTATAAGCTGCCCCTCTTTGTGGGCCGTTCTGGCCAGGAAGGCACAAGACACCTGTGGGTTCTGGGCAACAGCCCTTCAGTAAGACCTTGCCTAAAGGAAGAGTGGAACACCTAGGTGCCAGGCAAGACACGCTTATAATCAGGAGAGTACTGGAGGTTCCGCCTGCCAACAGTGCCCTTGGAGACAGCCATTCCTGCAAACTGTCTTACCTTGGCTTCCTGGACCAGTTTCTCCCTCCCTAACCTGCACCCTGTTTTAAGGCCCAGCCCTGGGGGGTTCCCCTGCGTAGCTGACTATTCATGCATTGCACAAAGCTGGCTTTTCACATAAAGTTAAACCAGAAATGTTGCCATATTTCATTCTTACAGACAGATGCCTCCCTCTGGAGTTGCGGTTGAGTGACATCTCTATACATTGTAGCATAGAACGATTATTTAAGTGATATTTAAGTGAATATGTTTACAGTTTTTGTATATATGGATCTCTCTTCTGAAAGAACAATCCATGATTGTGTATTTTCAGTGTCCCATATTCCGACTGCAACTTCTTTACAATAAAGATTGTAAATGCGTTGACTGTGATCTGGATGCTTCTAGAGTCATTTCTCCCCTAGTCCTTCCTGGTACCACAGACTGGGGCCTCAAAGCCCAGAACACAGTAGCAAGTAGGGTGATGGAGGCTAGTCTGACCTCCAGGTTCTGGGAACCTGAGGTTTAGATCCTCGAATTGGATCTAAACCACACTGGTCTGGGTAAAAACTCTGCCACTAAGAGCAGGCTGTCTGAAATGCTGAGGATGAGAAAAAAATCACCATGGGGACAAGGGCTAGTACACTTCTGGGCCTTAACTCAGGACTTATTGTTGTTTGTTTGTTTATTTTTGGTACCGGAGATCAAACTCGGGTCCTTGCGCTTTGGAGGCAGGCTTCGGAACCACTGAGCTAAATCCCCAGCCCAGGACTTATTGTTGTGCTTTAAAAGTACGATATGTGTTCTTCCCTACCCATCACTCTTCCTCAAAAACCAGGTGTATTATTCAAGCCAGGATGCCTTGACTGCAGTGTCTCCAAGAATAAACTGGATGGGAGAATAAAATTGTTGGGGATCATCACAGAGGGACAGAGAACAGAAAAACTCCCAGATTATTTTTTTGGTACCAAGGATCCAACTTGGGACCTTGAGCTTTGGAGGCAGTCGGCAGAACCACTGAGCTAAATCCCCAGCCTTCACAGATTCTTAACTCATTAAAAGTGTGGTTTATGCCAGGCATGGTGATGTACACCTGTAATCCCAGAACTCAGGAGGCTGAGACAGGAGGGTCATTGTGCGTTCAGGCCAGCCTGAACTACATAGCAAGACTCTGTCTCAAAATTACACAATAAACAGCCTGTAGTTTGTGTTTTTTTCTGAGACAGGGCCTCAGGAACTGCTATTGCTAAAAAATAGCCAGATGTAGTGACAACACATCTCTGTAATCCCAGTACTCTGGGAGGCTGAAGCTGGAAGATCCCAATTTTGAACTCAGCCTGGGCAAGAAGAAGTCCCACCTATAATTGTATGAGCTTTGGGGGGACATCTAGATATAAACCATAACACCTCCTTTTTATTCTTCATTTTCACAATCTTGCTAAGTAACTAAGTTGTCCAGCCTGGGCTCAAACCCCAGACCTTTTAAAATTATTTTGAGCCAAATTAAAACAATGCTGAGGGGCTGGAGATTTAGCTCAGTAGTTCCGGCACCTGCCTTGCAAGTACAAGGTCCCAAGTTCGATCCCCAGTACCAAAAAAAAAAAAAGGTACTAATAAAACAATGCTGAGATTCCATATCACACCAGAAGGAATGGCGTGAAATCAACCAGGAGCTGGGGATTTAGCTCAGTGGTACCAAGCCTGCCTTGCAAGCGCAAGGTCCTGAGTTTGATCCCCGGTACCAAAAAAACCCCAAAAAAACTACAACTAGAGGTTCCATTCGACCCACCCATTCCCCTTCTTGGTATCTTCCTGAAAGAATTAAAAGCATCATACCACAGCAATATATGCACACCCATGTTTACAGCGGCAGAGTTTGTAATAGCTAAATCATTAAACAGCCTAAATGCCCATCAACCAATGAATGGATAAAGAAGGTGTGGGTTTTTGGGGGGGGGGGTTTGTTTGTTTTGGTACTAGGGATCAAAGGACCTTGTGCTTGGAAGGCAGGTGCAGTGCTGCTGATGTGTATTTTTTATATAGTGGAGTCCTACTGTATAAAATGTACTACTCTGCCATAAGGATGAGCTTGAGACATTTCTAGCTAAATGGATGCACCTTGAGGCCATACTCTTAAGTGAGATAAATCAGACACACATGTTTAAATACTGCATTCTCTGGTGTGAGAAACCAAAAGTACAAATAAGAACCAAAATGTATAATAGATATTGGAAAATGGGAAGAAAATGTTCACATGAGAAGGAGAATAAGGGAGGAGGAAGGGGGGAGGGAAAGAAGGGACAAGGAAAAAAGAATAGAAGGAAAAAATGAAAAAGCTTTTGTAAATGAGAGGAGAGGGGTTGAAGGGAGGGAAGGGAAATGGGAAAAAAAGAAGCAAGATATATCATTTACAGGTACAAATTCCCTATGATGAATATTATTATGTATATGTAAAATATACCAATAAATGTTTTGCTTAAAAAAATAAGTTATTGTGAGCCAGATGTGATGGGGCACAGCAGTAATTCCAGCACTCAGAAAGGAGGCTGAGACAGGAAGATTGCCAGTTTTGAGGCCAGCCTGGGCAATTTAGTGAAACCCTGTCTGAAAATAATTTTCTTTTTTTAAAATAAGTTTTATCCCTTAGCACAAGGACCCGAGTTCAATCCCTGGTACCAAAAAAAAAAAAAAAAGTTTTATCCCATTTCCACCCCTCCCCGAATGTCCCCTCCCTTTCCTATGTACAAACGCTTTGTTTCCATTTTTTCCTTCTAAAATAATTTTCTTCTGAGACAGGGTCTCACTATGTAGCTAAGGCTGGCCTTGAACTTGGTACAGTCCTCCTGCCACAGCCTTCTAAGTGCTGGAATTACAGATGTGTACCACCACCTCTGGCTATCCATTTCATTATTTTTTTTTCTTTTTTTTGGTATGGGGGATCAAACTTGGGACCTTGCGCTTGTGAGGCAGGAAGCAGCATCACTGAGCTGAATCCCCTGCCCCATTTCATTATTTTTTGATCTTTCATGGATCTGTAGACATTTTTTGTGTATTTTAAAATACATTAATAAAGGCTGAAAATCACCTGGTCTCTCACTTGACTTAGCTTTGTTTCTGCCATCCTTTTTTTTTTTTTTTTGGTACCAGGAATAGAACTCAGGACCTTATGCTTGCGAGGCAGGCACCAGAACCACTGAGCTAAATCCCCAGTGCCCCCCCCTTTTTTTTCTTTTAAGAGAAGGTCTTGCTATGTAGCTATGGCCTTGAACTCACAGCAATCCTCCTTTCTCACCTCCCAAGTGATTATAGGCATGTGCCACCACACCTGGCTATATTTGCAAGTCTTGTCCTCAAGGTTTGATTCTTTTTTTTTTTTTTTTTTTTTGGTACCGGGGACCCAACTCCGGTCCTTGAGCTTGCACAGCAGGTGGCGAAACCACTGAGCTAAATCCCCGGCTCAAGGTTTTACTCTTGAGTTTAAGAAAACCTTTCCTAATCCCATGGTCATCTCCAAGATACTCCTTTATATTTAGTGCTGTTTTTACAAATGTTTAATTCCTTTTGCAAACTTTTTGTTTGGAATTAAACATAGATTCACTGGATATTGAAAGAAAGGACGGCACACTCAAGCCCTCTGCCCAGCTCCCTGTCCCCAGGGAACACCTCACTCTGCTACGGAGCAGCAGCAGGGCCAGAAACACGCAGGTACAATCCACATACTGGTAGATTCACAGATGGTCTCAGAGCTTCCCTGGTACATGATGCATGTGCACATGCATGTATATGTATTTCTGTGCTTGCTTGCTTTCTTATTTTCTCCCTCTCCCTCCCTCTCTCTCTCTTTTTCTCACTTTCTTTCTCTTTTTGTGATTTTTTTTTTTTTTTGAGACGGGGTCTTACTATATAATTCAGGCTTGCCTTGAGCTCACTATGTACCCCAGGCTGGGCTCAATCTCAAGGCAATCATCCTGACATAGATGATTAGGGCACGGCAAAGCTAGCTGGGGAAATAGGCATGACCTGTTAATTACAAGATCCCAAATTGGGCATGGAGGCGCACGCCTACAATCCCAGCACTTAGGAGGCTGAGGCAGGAGGTTCCCCACAAGTTTGAGGCCACCCTGGGCTACATAGTAAGACCCTGACTCAAAAGACCTAAAAAAAAAAAAAAAATCCCAGAACACATTCTCAGAACAGTTCCCAAAGCCCTGCATGTGAACTCCTTGAGAGAACTCAAGCAGGTTTTCAATAGGATGGCCCAGGTCTGAAGTCAGTCTGAGGTGAGGGATTCCAGCACTGCTTCTCAGGACCTGTATGTAGAAGTTCTCACAGGTTTCCTTGAGATGTGGACCTTAAAAAAGGACAGAGATGCCAAGAAGAGCTTGGTATCATGGCTTTTCCCCTCTGTAGCCTGCCCCGTTTTCTCCAGGGGGTTCTTTTATCTTGCTCTTTTATTCAGCCCAAGCTCAATCTTATAGAGCCAGTTTCTCCCTCACTCTTCACTTGTCCTTTTTCAAATAAACTTTGCCCCTGCTGTTTGCTCATTTCATTCAATTCTTTATTCGAGGCAAGAAGAACCTGGAATCGAACTCCGAAGGAGAGCAAGCAACCCCAAACCCAGTAACATTTAATTGGCAAGCCACTTTTAGAAGAAGCTACCTGATAACATTTTGGAGTAGCCCACCAGGAGAATCACAAATCAGGAAGGTCCAGGGATTTAGCTCAGTGGTGCCACCGCCTGTCTTGCAAGTGCAAGGTCCTGAGTTCAATCCTCAGTAAACCCCCTCACCCCTAGTCTAGGACATTTTGATAACACTCCTGCTTCAGCCTCTAGAATGCTGGGATTATAGGCAAGTGACACCATGCCCGGTGTAGCTTGGATAACCACTACCACATTCAGGCTACAGTACTATACCATCATCACCTAGCTTCCTTCAGCTCCCCTCCATAGCTGTTTCCTTCTCTGTTTTAACTCCTGGCAACTGTTCATCTATTCTCCATCTTTGTTTTTTGAGATAGGGTCTTGCTATATAATTTAGCTTGGCTTTGAACTCACTATGTAGCCCAGGCTGACCTCGAACTCACCGCAATCCTCCCTCAGCCTCCTGAGTGCTGAGATTACATGCCTAAACTACCATACCATGTTGTTCTCCATCTTTATACTTTCTCATTTCAAGAACATTATATTGGGCGAAAAAAATGTCCGCCTGAGGAGATCCACAAGTTCGGGGGGGGGGGG